GACATGAAAATGGAAAATATCAACTTGGTTTTAATTCTTTGAAAGAAAGGTTGAAAATTTAGGATACTGTGGCAACATATTTTCCTTCCAATGACATTTAAAAATTAATTGACATGGTTTAATTTCATTCTATTTAATATCAGAGTTTTAAAAAATTGAGGTAAGAGTATTTCCAGCGTGTTTGTTACAAAGGATAAAAGAGGGTTGTTGGTTCAGTGCTTGTGATAACAGAAGCTGTAATATAACCTCACTTTGCTAGAATAATGCCAGGAATATGAGTCTAATGCGGAAATATGTTCCTTTATGACATAGGTCCCACATGTGTTTTTAAATATACCTGCCCAACAGGTTATTTTAATCCCTTAGTTTTAAATATACCTGCCTAGCAGTTTATCTTAATCTCAGTGCAGACACGTAAGCAAGACCTTGTGCCAATGATGATATAAAAGGTATGTGGGTAGGAATCAGGATGAAGTGGGAGAATATTCCTCACCCTTCCAGAAAGAATTCCCAGAAGTATTCTTCATGGTTCTTGGCCCCTTCTGGAGAACACATGAAGGGCAGATGGGTTAGCATCTCATGCACTTGAAGCCTGGGGTCAGGGACACTGTATAAGTCACTCCTTGTGTGGTCTGTTTGGAAGTAGAGCTGTCACTAGTGAATCTGGGAGCTGAACAGCCAACTCTGCAGCCTTAGAAGACACTGGTGCAGCCCAGGGTTTATTGGTTGTATAGCAGACAATGCCCTTATTATGCCAACACGATGTAAATGTAATAAAAATGTTTGGGTTTTCTGTTAGCCTCTTCATTTGTACCAAAAGCAGCATGTCTCTACTAAAAAGAGGGGAGCTGGAAAGAAACCAAGGAATTCACCCAGCCAACTGTCTACCTTTATATAGTCTTATGTGAGATTTGACAGGCCTCCCTTGAGGGCCACTGTTGCTGGCACATTAACTCAGTTGCTTGGCCTCACTTGAGAGTTCATGTAACACACTGAAAATTCAGAAGCAGAAATTAGTCTAACTGATTTGCCATGGTTGCAATAGCAAGGGAAGGAAGTGGAGTGGGACTAACCAAGGCCATCCTGGTTTTAGCAGTTGGTGCACAGATTTCCATGGACAGTTCTGGGCAAGGGACCCAAAGCCCAGCTGGGCCTGGCTGAGATACCTCTGCTGGGTCCTTCAAATACACATCCCTTAGCGCAATTTTGGTTTTATTTTATCTAGATTTACTGGATTTGTACAGGTTATTTGAAACCTACACTGTCTTAAAGACTAACCTCTGAAAAAGAGGAAACAGGGTCTTAATCCAACTGTCTAGAACATTTTATGGTAACTGATTTTATGTTTTCTTTTGCTGAAATTTGGAGGCCCCATCTCTTATGTCTAAAGACTTTGTGGGGCATGTAGAACCATTTATACATAGCACACTTTTCAGCCGTGTTTTCCTAATTTACCTCTATGGGTCTGCCTGGTAGCTTCATGGTTAAAATGGTTGCTGGTACTCCCTTCCCTCAGCCTCTCTCCTTCCTCGAGTCTGCCATCTCTCAGTAACACCAGTGTGGGAGGGTCTCCAAGGAACCAGAGCCCCAGTTGTGGAAGTCCCTATACAACACATCAAAGATGAGTTGCAGGCAGCCCTGTCATAGGGAGCTCCAGCCTTAATAGATCTTTGTACGGAGAATGTTGATGTACAGAGGTGGTATACTAACTGTTTTGTGATTGATCATCTTGAAAAAATGAGTGTGCCTAGCAGTGCTTATCAGCTGAGTACAGCCAGTTGGAGGCCAGATTTTGTGAGGGAGGAATGGCCTGGAAATAGTCTTTAGTGGTTAGTTCCTCTGCACGGTGTCATTCAGGAAGCACATGGGTCAATATCATCATTCCCTGTAGCTCAAATCAACCAGATTGCCTGACAATGAAGGCTCAGGTGTAGCTGAGAAGTGCTCACATTTCTACGAGGCCAATGAAAGCTTCAAACACAGTTTTTGTGCTATAGAAATAAGAACTTGTGACTGCTCCAAGGTCTTTGTGTGAAGGCAGATTTGAAAAGGACCAGATTTTAAAATAGGATCTGGGCTTACAGAGAAGGAAAAGCACAAAAGCCTCTGAGCAAACTGTAGGAACAATGTCAACATATGTTCTCAGTGGCCCTCGGTGATGGGGTTGATGCAGTTATGCAAAATTTTATCACTGGGGCAGAAATTTTTTTTTTTTTCTGTCTTTCTACCTAGAATGAGAAATTACCAAATCATGGAAGGGTGGTAAACTTCCTAAGTAGACATAAGCAAATGAAATGCCCTAGAAGAATTCCAGACTGAACCCATAAGGAGCACTCAAGTTTGGGGATGTATATCAAGCATTCCCTTTAGCATTGGGACCATGAAGATTTTAGCTGATTTTAGATAATCATTGCATCTTTTGAGGGGTCTCACAGTGGAGGCAGGAAAGGAGATTAGGAAGTAATGTAATTTTTGCTATATGAGTTGCTGTTGTTATTTATTGCCTACATGTTACCTCCCTCACTTGATAGTTAGTTTCTGTGTCAGTGACTAGTCAGCCCCTGTATCTACAAAGTCACAATTGCTGTGACCTGGTTTTCTCTTTTAATTTTTAGATATGGAACCCATACACATGGACTGTTTAAGAAGATAGGAATTCCTGGGCCAACACCTCTGCCTTTGCTGGGAACTATTACAGGATACTTCAAGGTGAGTGTTGTTTGAGCTTCTTTTGTTTCTTATGGTCATAAGTACCAGGTTAGTTCCATCATTAGAAGTGTAACTCCTTGGGAGGAAGTTCTTAAGTTCCACACGTTCAGAAACCATGTGTAGGCTCCACCCAGAGCATGGCCAGGGTCACCCCAGAAATCTGTTGTCAACAGTTAGGAGCCTTAGGAATGCCTCCGTCAAACAGCTCCAATCTCTGCAGATTCAGCACTTGATGTTTAGAATTTAATTTTCAGACTGTGTGAGCATCATAAAAAGGATTTTCTTTCTACCCAGTGCAGATTCCCAGGAAGGTGGTGTCATCAGGAGGAAAGCAGGAAGGAGAGCTGCAGTAGCAGCTCATTAAGCTGTGTACCCCAGATTCAAACTTTCCTGGTCATAGCATGAGCTCTGGGTCACCCTTTTTTACCTTCTTCTTGGATAGTTTTGAAACTTCAGTTTATTAGGCAGCCTAAGTATTCACCATTGGGGAATCTGCACTTACTCGACTTCTCTCAAGAACTGCTAAGTCCCCTGTGGTTATTTCCATGGCTCTACCCCAGCTTTTGTTTCCCGTGACATCTTTGGCGATTTGAGACAGAGCACAGTGTTCTGCTACATTTCTTTTCCTTCAGAGGAGGCACCCTATGGGTGAGTCTGAGCAGAGAGTGGGTATAACTGAGGCAAGATGGTGGTTGTCTATCAACTCCAGATATTTAACCACTAATGAGTTTTGTGTTTTAAACACAGGCAGAATCATTTATACAAAATCAGTTGAAAGTAGATGATATGAAAACATTATTAAAAATTTAATTTTACTGGGCCGGCCCGGTAGCGCACAGCTACAGTGCGCCGCCTGGGAAGCGCGGCAGTGCTCCCGCCGAGGGTTCGGATTCCACATACAGACCGTCTGCTCACTGGCTGAGCGAGGTGCGGGAGCAACGCCGAGGGTTGTGATCCCGTTGCCGGTCCCAGTCCAGTACGGGCGGGACACTGAGGGTTGCAATCTGTTGCCGGTCATAAAAAAGACAAAAAGGAAAAAAAAAAATTAATTTTACTGAACAGAGTGTAATATGTACCACACACACAGAATCTCAGCTGAGCCTTCGTGGCTCACCCAGTCTGAGGCTTCGCCCAGAGCCTGGTCCCTGGATGGAATGTCACGAGCTCATGTGGGAAGGCCAGCGGCAAAGCTGTGTGCAGGCTGCTCTTGGGCTCAGATTTCCATTCCCGCAGAACTGAGGCTTGTTTCTCAGATTCTGCTTCTCCCAAGTGAAGCCTTTACTGCTTGATTACCAGGCATAGTCAAAACATGACAACTGAAACTTAGTAATGGGGAAATTTTATTTTTAAGTTTCAAAAGTGAACACTCAGAGCAAGTAGTTTAAAATGCTGTGTCCTACGTGTAGAGGTGATATTTCCCCACGTTTTCTGAGCTGAGCAGGAAAACGTCGTCCCTCACTCACTCATTCACGCTCACTCAGCAACGTGTTTTACTTAGACTTTTATAAAACCGCTGGACTGAACGAGGACACTAGTGTCTTCAGCTTCCTCATCCCGCCAGAATTCCAGAGCGAGCTGATGAGATGAATGAAAAGGATGCGGAGGGAGGAGATAAGAGGCGCACGCCCTTGAGACCCTCGCCCACTCTCCCTCTGCCTCAGTTCCTCACGTGCCCACGGAGGGGATAACTCAGAGGGTTGCAGGATGTTAGAGACAACCCAGGGACAAGCAAAAACACGTCAGGAGGACAGGGAGTTACTTAGTATTCACAGACAAGGGTAAGTCGTTCAGGGTCTACAATATTCAGAGAAAATTCAAGAGTGACATTAAATTTTCCATCTTGAATATCTCTATTTTATTTTATTTCCCCTAAGACGTCTCTGAATAAGAGCTTCCCTCCCACTGCTGGTGAATGATAGTAATACTGATTTTCCCCTAAGACGTCGCTGAATAAGAGCTTCCCTCCCACTGCTGGTGAATGATAGTAATACTGATTTCATTCAATTGGGGTCATTTTTGCCCCAATTACAGTAGGTTTCAGTTCATTTTAGAATAATAATATAAATTTGTTTTGTTTCTCTTCCCAGGGTTTTTGGGATTTTGACATAAAATGTTATAAAAAGTATGGACGTATGTGGGGGTGAGTATTCTGGAAACTTCCATTGCATACACTTGTTGCGATGAGGCACCCACTGCATGGAGGACAGTCTCTGCCCAGAGCCTCTTGGGATGCAGCTGTCTATTGTAAAGCTTTTGGAGGCTTGTCTGACCAAGGATCCCCTACGTCACCTGTTGTTGGGGTCTACAGTCTGAATCAGGCCGAGAACGTTGCAGGCCACCCCTTTCCTCCAGGCTTTGATGGGCCCGGAATCCCAGCATCACTTCCTGTCTGGTGTCTGGCTATTCCCCTCTTCTCCATTTTTCCTTCCTCAGGTCCCATTCAAATGCATAAAAACATTTTATTTCAGACACTTTAAATGTGTGCTCATAAATGCATGGCATTATCTCCTCATATATGTCACTTTCAATTAAAAGCCAAAAGTTCTTCATTTAAATTTTGGATTTAATATGCACTTTTGGAAGAAGAGCTGGGGGCTGTAGGTACAGAGATTGGGAAGCCATGTGTTCTCAGCATTTTTACTTTCTCTGCGAGTGTCGAGTTCTTTGTTTCTCTTTAAAATTTTTAGCCAAGACTTTTCAGTAGAAGTGTACACAAGTATTTATTTGTCTTCTCTATAGTAGTGACTTTGAAGAGGAGACGTAGAATATTTTTCAACCCCTGTGTTCCCTAGTGGCCTGATGGACTTTATGATTTTGTAGGGTGGGCTTGGCCAGTTATAGCTTCTCCCCTTCAGAGCTGCTGGAGGTTTGGTTTAGTGAGAGCAACGGAAGAGGGGTAGTCGTGC